CTCTAAAGCCACAGTTTGACTCTATCCTCGTCCAAGCCGCATTCTTCCTGCATTTTTATTGAAGCCGCATTATTCTCTTTTAAAAGCCACATTTTAACTTTGTTCATGCCAGAAACACATTCTCTCTGCACTTTTATCGAAGCCACGATCTTAGTCTTCTGAAAAAATTGTCCAAACCACTTCTGCCGATCTCTTAGCAAAGGGTGCTTTCCATCAAGCACTGTCTTAACCTCATCCTTATGTTCTTATAAAATGCATCTGTTTGGTACCGACCTTGTTCGGCGCAGAAGCAACATCTGTCCACAGAGTACAAGCAAACCATCCCATGGCTTCATTGTTTTTCATATGGGATCCTTTGTTTCGTACAAGTCATGGTTGGGTTGGCTCAATATTCCTGCACAGGATCACAGTTGTACTTACTTGTTTTACTTGATTGTGGGCCAATCAGCCTTTAAGCCACAAGGCTGGATGACGTTGAATTCATTGCAGATACAGTGTGTCTGAATTGACAGACTGCCAGGCAAGCCTTGTCTATGCTCAGAGTATGGCCAAAGATCATAAGTGTTTTTGTATGAGGAAAACTGAGGAACCTGTGGAAAAACTTGTGTTGCACGGGGAGAATCAAGGAACCAAGCTGCTCACATTATGGTGCAGGCGGGGAATCGAACCTGGGCCACAGTGGTGAGAGACGAGTGGTGTATACACTCTAACCACCTCTGCCCCCCCCCAGATGATCTTTCAAAGCATGCTTGCAGCCAAAGTTCGTATAAACTAGTCCACTATGCAAAGTTTCAAATCGCACCCCCCTCTGTTTTCATGACAACCACAGAATGGCCGCACCCAGAGTTTCATCCCAACCTGTCCTGAAGAACCAGCGGGACTTCTTGTCCGCCCAGATCGGTGCCCTGCAGGGCCAGCTGGACGGCCTGAATGCCCAACTGGGCCAGGCCCTGGCCGACCGGCAGGCCCTCCAGGAGGGGCTGGCCACGCCCGGGGAGGGCGGGGCTGTTGGGGACGGCGCTGTCATCCTGAAGTCTCAGCTGAGCGCACTGGAAACGAAGACAGAGAACCTGGTGAAGAAGATAGCACAGGTGGAGGAAGAGGTGGCCCAGAAGGTGAAGGAGCGAGCTGCTGCTAAGTAACTTGATTTGACCTTTGACCTTGTGTGACCTCTGACCTTTAATTGTGCACGACCTCACAACACTCCTTCCCAAGCCTAACCACCGACATTGACATCACCATCAAAAACAAACAGTTACTTGACATTGTTGACATTGAAATTGTATGAATTAAATGTATTTGACCCTTTGACTTGAGTGTCTGGCTTAAAACCTTATTTGGTCAAGTGCCTGGCCTAGATAACCCTGTGCAGTGATGAATGTTTGCGTTAGGTTTTGTAACAAGAGACGTTATTTGTCAAAATAGTTTTCAAAGACTGAAGTAGGATTTCACTTGTCATTTGAATTTTTTAGAGTATCCAAACATTTTCTTGTATGAAAAATGTCTTATCGTTGAAGTTCATTTGTTGATTGATCTCCATTAGAGCAGCTGTTTAAATAATAGTTGAATATTTATGTCTATTTGGTTGTGGATTGAGGTATTCTGAATTAAGGGTTCCTTCCATTAATATATGTAAGCCTGTGTGCATTTTTTGTCTCATGATTTGAAATTTTGAAGTGTCTCAGTATTCTGAATGGGAACAGTGTGGTTTGGTTCTTCAGTCTTTTCCGAAATTGTTTATGCTAATTGGCAGTTTATTTTTTTAAGACATTGTTTGAAGCGGCACCAGTGGTTTTAAAGCTTATAAATATCACATTTTATGACTTTCTGGATTTTAAGATTTTATGTTGTGCTTTCACAATCATGTGCACTTTGTAAAGGTAGCCAGATTGCCTTATCAAAAAATTACATTCAATATAAATTTCTCTCTCAGGTGAATCAGATTTGCTAAGGATAAGACAGTGCTAGATTTGTGATTGTAGGTTTCATGTTGAGCTACGAATAGTTTGCCAGCACCTACTCACTTCAAGTTACATTCCACGTGTTAAACACTTGCCTGAAGGTCTAGCAGTAGTCATTCAAATATTTCAAGAGCTTATGCAAAATTGTGTAATATTTTGTGAATGTTTCTTATTGTCAAGAATGAATCGAACCGGTCAAGTTGTACGTGATTATTTTTTATAAAACGCACCTTTTTTTCATTCCGTCTCCGTGTTTTCCGAAATGAACAAATAAAGTAAAATCCGTCCAAACTTTGAAATATTTTGTAAGTATGATAAATTAAGTATTCAATGCTCGGGGCCACGCTTCGCTTTTTAACCGGCCTGAGAACAAATTCCAAAAATAAATAACACATAGTACAACACGGCTTATTTGGTCGTGGCCTCCATTCGTGCCGGGCATGGCTTTCCTCGTACTGTTGTGGCCATCTGATGTAAGCATTGCCCGGAACGGTTGCCGACACGAGTAAAGACTTAAAACCGACTCCGTCTGTTGAATTAAATTCTCTCACTTGGCTGAAAAGCAAACATCTGTTATTCCTCCGTCCTCTGTTGCATCAAACACCCGTTATTTTCCCGTCCATTGACACTGGAAGTTGTCAGAAAGTTTCGGATTTTTATCTTTATATTTGTTATGTTTTGAAAAATCAATACATGTATATTTTGCTGTCAAAATTAATACGAAGTGACGAATCAATGCTCACTAAATGGTTATTTCTATGCACAAATTTTTAAAAAATGACAAATAGAGAGTTTCACTTCCTGTGCTTTTTAAAACGATGCTTATTAATAGTTTGTAAATGCTTAAAATGGCCAACTTTGTACCAACTTTGTAGATTTAAATCAGAGAATTGTTTGTATATCAGAATTTATCTGTAAATTTCCGAATTGTACCTGAGATCAGTCTTTTATTTCAATTTTGTATCGTGTCAGTGATTGCTTGACTAAGGATTCTAGGATTAGAGGACGCAAGTTTTATGACTTCTCTGAGAAGTTTAGTTTAGATTTGGACAGTGAGTAAATAGATATTTTTGTTACGCAGTGAATAAAACAGTTAAATTTTGGTAAAAAAAAGTCGCAACCCTTACAAAAATTTCTTTTGTCGCTCAGGTGACTTTTAATGTGACTATCGAGATATCAGCTCGATAGAATCATTTGCGAGTTCCTATCCTTTGTGGAAAACAAAATCGTGGAATATTATGCCCTGTGCATAGGCTTACTCTCCTCTTGTAAAAATCCTTCTGTTTCGTCGATGGAAATCAGCCAAGGGCTTGAGTGTATAGTCTAAGAGTCGCTCGGTGAAGACCTCAGTCGCTCTCTGCACACGGGTGGTTTACTGAGCGCGGTTTGTGCCATCCAGCCCCAATCTCCAGTTCAAAATCTTGCGCGGGCGCTGAATCCGAGAGCAAGGTGTGTTTTAAATAGACGGCGGAGATGCGTTTGCGCTGTAGTTTCTTTTTTTATGACAACATGGGCAGATCAACCATGCCCCTCCCTCCTCCAGGGTGATATGTTTTTTTTTATTTGGACTAATAATGAAATTGGGAATTTCCTTCATTTCCCTTTCTTTCCAAATGCGTAAAAGCTTCCCAATTTAGCCTCAGCCCTCACAAAGGCCACAGAAAGTTCTCTGCATAAATTCCCAAATTTTTCCCCTCGAAAATGTTTTTGCTCTCCCGTGGTTTTG